CCTTTGCGGATTTTAGGGCTTTGTGAAGAATGGTCACAACTACCCCGGGAAGGCTAGGGTGTGACTAGGATGGTGATGATGTCACTGGAGTGGTTGGGTGTGTAAGGAATGGTAAGGAATGATTTCGAGGACGAAATCTAATTTAAGTGGAGGAGAGTTGTAACACCCTGTTTATTTATTAAATAAATTAATAAATTAATGAAGATATAGTAGCCCTAAAATCAATAATTTTGTAGCAGGGTGTTGGTTACGAGGAGCTATTTGTCATAATTTGGAAGTTGAGGGTTAAAAGTGTAAGCTCTGGACCCCGTTTACAAATACTTATGAAGGCAGGGACTCCGTGGTAATTATTTGGAATTAATTTAAATCGAAATGATGTGGAAGGGCTGAATATGTCATAACTAAGATATTGGGGGCTGTCTGGTAAATTTTGTACCTAAGATGTAAAGGATTTAATGTGGAGGGTTTAAATGGTAATTATCGGATTTAATTTGAAGAAGATTTCCAAAGTCAGGGTAGAAAGGGTAAAATTCGGATTACATTTGATAAGATCTTATGGGGAGGGACTAGAATGGCTTAAAGGGCAAAGTTAAATATGAACACGGGACAACTCCCGTCACCCTTGCTTAAGTCGAGTATATATGCATCATAAACTCCCGTTTCAAACCCTAAACCTAAAAATTGAAGACAACCGCCATCGCCAGAGTTCTCAAACCGCCACCATCCTCGTTCTTCGTCTCCGGCGCCATTACCACCTGATCCCTCCTCTCTCTTTCTCCGATATGGTGAGGTTTTGGACGACAGCCGACGTCCATGCTGCTGTCCGGAGTTGTTGCTACTCCAGTCGCCGTCGGGGGCTCGTACGACGTCTCCTTCTTCTGTCGCCGTAGCTCCAAGCGGTTCGGCGCTTCGGTTACTCTCCAGCCGCCGGATGCCACCATAGAGGGTGGTTGGGTTCACTTCTAGCAAGCCGGGTGTGCTGCTGCCACCTTTCCGTGTCAACCACCGCCGCCCCAAGAGACTGAAGGGTTGTCGCCGTTGTTCCCAACCGTTGAAGGCGAAGCCGCCGCCTACGCTGGCGGCCAGTTTGGTGTTGATTCGCTCGTGCTCCTGCCACCACCGTGAACCTCTAGGTGGGTGGTGGTATATCTGTTTCGGGTCCTTGTGTGTGTATTGTCTATTACTGCAATGGAGTGGGTGTCGTGTGGGGTTGTTGATGGCCGGAAAATGGAAGAGATACCCCCCATGGTTGCCAGCCATGGTGGCTGCCACCATTTGCCGCCGCCGGCCACCATAAGGTGGTGGTGTGTGTTATTTGTTTAGTATGTGTGTGTGTTTATTTTGAGTATTATCATTGTAATGTGTAATTTACAATTGGAATAATGAAAGGAAAAAATCAAACCACCACCGTGAGGTGGTGGCTGCCGCCACCGGCCGCCGGGTCGGGTGGCTGTGTGCTTGTCTTGTTGAGTTGATTCGTTTATGGTGCTTGAAACCCTAATGGGCCCAAAGAAGCTCATATGGGCCCAATGAAGCTTAATGGACTCTATTGGACCCAATAAAACCCTAATGGGCTTGATGACATTCTAGTGGGCTTGATAGGCCCAATAAAGCCCTAAATGGCCTAGAAGCCCAACAAGTTAATAAATGGGCTAGTCTTTGGGTTGGAAACCCTAATTAGGGTTTGGAAAACCCTAATGCCATGAAACCCTAATTTGGGATTTATCGGGATCGCATCGGGATTAATTAATAAACTTAGAATATTAATTAATAATCATTGCCAAAGATTAATCTAAGCGATATTGGACTTAATGGATTAAGTCCTTAGAGGATTAAGTCCTTAATGGGTTAAGTGAGAAACACTTAACCCTAATCGTCATTTTATGTGAAACCCTAATTTCACATGGGTGTATTGTTGGGCCTTCTATTGGGCCTTGATGATTGCGTTATTAATGGACCATCCAAAGTCAAGCAAATGGACTAGAATATTTAATGGGCCTAAGGTAAGGCCCATGTAAGGGGTTTAGGCCCAATTTGGAAAATTGGGCCATATGTTGGGCTTTAAGCCATAGTTGGACTTTTGGGCCTTAGATTGGGCCTTGGGCTTGCATAAAGCCAACCTTGGGGTAATGTAGTAATTACCCAAGTGAGCCTCTATGATTATGTGTTAGGACCTAATTATTAATTGGGTGTTATTTTGGTGTTGACAGTTCGGGAATCTGTCATCCAGCAGCTGGGGTGAAGTCTGCGGGACTTCAGCAATGTGGGGTTATGCCTGCGGGACTTCAGCGGTGCGAGGTGAGTTACCTTCCAGTAGGAGTGGGTCTACGGCCACAATGCCGACCCACTAGTAGGAGTTATTTGTTAGATGATTGTCTTTGTGATAATTATCTGGTGTGTTGTTATCTGATATGCTTTATGTGCTAGGATGTTATGACATATGTGTAGTAGTTGTAGGGGTGATATAGCCCATAGTTACCGGTTGAAAGATACCGAAGGGGTAGATAGTACCCATGCATGCCTAGCAGTATGATCATGATATGTTATTATGTGATAGTGGTAGGGGGTGAAATAGTCCCCGGTTACCGGTTGAAAGATACCGAAGGCAGTTACCGGTTGAAAGATACCGAAGGGGTAGACAGAACCCATGTATGATATGTTATTAAGTGACCAGTATGGTTATGATATGCCATTATGTGATTCAGTATGTTTATGTTATGTTATCATGGAACCAATATGTTTATGACATGTTATTATATGATAGTGGTGGGGGTGATATATTCCCCGGTTGCCGGTTGAAAGATACCGATGGCGGATACCGGTTGAAAGATACCAATGGCGGATACCGGTTGAAAGATACCGATGGCGGATACCGGTTGAAAGATACGGATGGCAGTTACCGGTTGAAAGATACCGATGGGGTATACAGAACCCATGCAATGCTTATCTGTTTGTTTATGGTATGTTGGTATGTGATCATTATGTTATGATGTTAGTATGTGATCGATATGTTATGATGTTAGTATGTGATCAGCATGTTATGATGTTAGTATGTGATCAGTATGTTTATGATATATTATTATGTGATGGTGGTAGGGGTGAAATAGTCCCTGGTTACCGGTTGAAAGATACCGATGGCAGATACCGGTTGAAAGATACCGATCGCAGTTACCGGTTGAAAGATACCGATGGTATTATGTGGTATGTGGTATGATGGGGGAACTCACTAAGCTTCGTGCTTACGGTTTACAGTTTTGGTTTCAGGTGCTTTGTTTTCAAAGGAAAGGAGTCGGCTCGATCGCAGCGCATCACACTATGTTTTCCGCACATGAGATCTTTGGGATTACACTCTGATGTGGTTTTATGATAAACTGCTTTGATTATTGACACTTTGGTTTTATGTAATAACCTAATTAAAAACGAAATTTTTGGCCTTGAATTTTGGGATGTTACAGTAATGGTACTTGGCAGACAACCCATTAAGTGCATAAGACACAATATTGATCTCTCAGGGACTGGGTTTTTCAGATTTTCAAGTAAATCAGCAAGAGTTTTAATACGAAGGAGCCACCTTGTGTGATGTTTATGATCTCATTGTCAATTTGAATGGAGGTGGTGTGTTTATTTCACGAAAAAGCATCTCCAGGCGATTCCAAACTCCATATGCAAAGGAGTTTTTCTTCAAAATCATGTGAAGAAGTGACTAAGACAACGTGCTGTAAATCCAAGATTTTACTATGGATTCCAAATGCTCCCATTCTTCATTTAGTGGCTGCAAGAGACTTGTCGGTGGTGAGAAGAAGATGTTTGGAGAGACCGTACCCCTTACATTGAGTTTCAAAAAGCTCACGCCATATATCATAATTCATTATTTCAAGTTCGAGAACTAGAGGAACCGCATGTTTGATGTTAATGGACGAAGAAGGTTTGTCAAGAGGAGAAGCAGAAGAGGAAGAATCCTTGTCAGACATGATTGGCGAAAGAGTGGGAGGGAAGCAAAATCGAGGATTAGAAGAAAACAAGTATCGATTCAGCGGCTAGGGTTGTCTGATACCAAGTAATTGTGATAAAATTTCATGCCTTGTATTACTTCATTAATCGTATTTATACAGATATACATCAATGGGCCAAGGGCCACGAATGGGCTAACTATCTAAATACAAATACAATACAGAATAAATGTGTATGCTAACAGACATGGTCTAATCGCTTTGACTCAAGCTTGAAGGTTTTTTACAATGTGTAGAAAGAAATGGCTTGTGATAGTGGCTTTATGGAGTTTCCTTCCGATTGAAACCAACCGATTTTTATCTTCTTTGGCTTGAAATCGGATTTTGAACAAAAAAAATCAGAAGAGTATGAAAAGCTATGACTGGGTTTAAATTTTCAATTTGATTATACGGAGAATGAAAAAAATATGGTCTTAAATTTGGGGATGATTAGAATGAGAATCAACATTAATGGGAAAAGGGATTTGACAATAATACATTTGTACATGAAATAAACCTGAAACATAATGAGGAGGGTATTTTTGAAATTTAACATAATGAGGAGGGTATTTTTGAAATTTAACATTGAACCAATGAAGCTCTAAAAATGTCAGGTAGTACAAATGAGTCTGACCGAAAGAGCATTTCGATTTATTCACAAACAACTTGTGTTGTTTTAAAGTTGAAAACACTATCCTCAAATGTTGCAAGTGGCTATCTAGGCTGTCACTGTAAATCAAGATGACATCGAAAAAAAAAAGAGTAAAAACTTCTTTTCATATAATCCATGAAAACCTCATTCATTAAAGCCATTTATTATAATAGAGATATTATGTTAGAATCAGGACCAAGGGTGATGATAATTAGATTCCTAGATGTCATCGTAAATTCATATTTTTTATTGTAAGAGAATTATCCCCAAAAATGACACGAGATGTAGGCACATGATAAAAATGCAAACTATTAAATTAAGACGTAGGGAGAACAAAAAACGTGTTACAACAACATCAATTAATTAAATTAAGAGACTCACAGTGCTTATACGAAAAAGAAGGCTGCCCCTTTCAGGCTTCCACCAGCGTGTTTCTCCAAAACTAGCGATACCCACCTCTGAGCGATACCCTTTTACCCTAACGCCTCCACTCCAGCGACTTCCTCCGCCACACCATCAGCGACTACCTCCGGCCACCAGACATGAGCGCCGCCACCCCAGCGCCTAGCCGGTAAGATTCTCTTCTCCATCTATGAACCGAGGGTTTTTTTGAGTGATTATTATCGAAATCATCAAATCATCGACTGTTTACTCTATCAATGTCAATTAGATTTGAAATTGATCAGTTTTTTTATGAATAAAGTGTAATGTAATTTTGATGTTTAAGTTAATGTTGTTATTGATTTCCATACGCATGCTGCTCTTTTGTTGTGTTTAGGGATTCAGAGTTTCAGCTATGGTTGCTGATGAAACCAACCTCCAACGCCACCTCTCAACTTTCAAACGAGCGATACCCACCTCCTCCAGCATTGCCCCTTCGCAGACGACACCAACCTCCTCTCGGTGAGTTATTATCTGAAATCGAGATAAAATCGTTTTTGTTTTCTGAGTCTTAGAAACTGTGCTATAAAATCGAATTCATATGACAGTATGAACTTCAATGTATGTTTATAATTCCAACTGAGCTCTCAATCAAAGTACTAATAAGTCTATTTTTTTTTAACACAAATGATCATGTCAAACTTGTTTCTCTTTGTGTATACCATTCTCATGTCTTGGAATTCATGTGTATATTAATCATGCAACTTGCAATATAGAACATGTTTTCTTTGTTTCATCATAATGAGAAAATATGTTCTATATTTACATTTTTCTAATTCATTGTGTAATAGTCAAACCACATAAGTATGTCAAAACTAAAGGACAAAATAGATGAGAAGGAAGAGTCAGTTGCCTTCTATATTTTACAAGTAGAAAAATCCACATGTCAAATTGTGTCATTGGATTTCTAGATATTTTTTATGATTATAAAAAGTCTGAAGTCCTTTCACCTCATTATCTGACCATATATAGTATTATATTAAGTCAAGCTCATATTGTAGAATGTGAAAAAGTTCTACAACAGCCATAATGTGTATAATAGCAAATACATATCTTTTGCTTATTAGATGTGACATTGATCAAATGATAAATTCTTGGGATGTATAACTCTGATCAGAAGATTATTCTCTATCATTTATGAACTAGTATATGTTCTATTTTTTATTTTATTTTTATTTATTATTATTATTTTTTTTTTGTATGTCATTACATACAAGATTCTACAAGAATGGGGGGGCTTTTGCTGCTCAAAAACTTTAAGAAGAAAACAGGAGGTTCTTGACTTCTTTCTCTCTTGGCATTTAATTTATATTTTTCTTGTAAATGTTAACACCATTATTTCTGATTTGAAAATTGAAAATGTGTTATTGTATGTGATGAAGACCTCATATATAAAGATTATGAGACCGAGTCCAAGCTGAAGCTATCAACCCATTCTGCCAACGGGGTGGTATAATTCTAAGATTGTTCATATTTTAAGAATATATTTTTCCGACTACCGTATTAAAGTTTTATATTTCACAGGGTCTTACAGCTTCAGCCTCAAAGCTAGGGAAGATGCATTTTGCTGATGTTAATTTGGAGATGAAGCGCCAAGCAATCACTTTCGGAATGAAAGTAAAATCTGACTCGAATGTAAGAAATTTTCCTATATGTATATGTATATGTATATGTATACGTATACGTATACGTATACGTATTAAATTTTATATACTAACTTTTTTCCTATTGATTATAGGTTGCGGTGTCTGCTATGCTCGGAGACCCTAACCGGGATTTGACAACACATCTAACTTTGAAAGTGCCATCTAAACATGCAATGGTATTTTAGTAAACATTGAACATGCTATATATATATATATATATATATATATATATATATATATATATTTATTTTCAGGTGGAACTGATGTATATGAAGAAAAATCTAGCACTCAGTGGGAATTTCAGTATACAAGGGCATCCATTTATGAGTTGTTCAGCTACTGTTGGAAATAAGGTGATCTCAGTAGGAGCAAATGTCTCTTTTGGTATGAAATGCCAACATCTCACTACATGCAATATCGGTTTAAGCTATACGAAAAATGATCTTATGGCATCGTTCACTGTGTGAGTACCTCTCTCTTTTTCAATTACAACATTGTACTTTTGTACATGACTTTATCATGTTTTCCGGGTTTGGGTCCTTCGGGTCCGGGTAAACCAGTTTTGACAACTGGAACCAGTTTTTGAAACCCGGTTTTCTAGTTTTTGAAACCCAATTTACCCGGTTCCGTACCCAATTCCAGCATCGTACTTTGCTATTTATTGATTATGTCCTTCATTAATATAGGTCGGACAAAGGGGACACCCTTAGCTTTGCTTATCACCAGGATGTAAATCCTTTCATGAAAACAGCTGTTGGGGGTGAGTTGACACATATTGTGTCGAGCAATGACACACTGTTGATTCTTGGGGTCCAGCATGGCTTGGACCCAGAGACGATCATTAAGGCCCGTGCAAGTAGTATGGGTAAACTAAGTGCCCTAGTTCAGCACCAGTTTTCCCGCAGGGCGCTTATCACAGCTACTTGTGAAGTCGATTGCATGGATCTAAACAAACGATCGAGGTTTGGATTAACATTGGCATTGGATCCGTGATTATTCAGAAGTGTTGGGGGTGGGGATGGGGGGATTGTGGCGGAGTGATTGTTAACTTGTCCACATTGACACTAATTAATGACATATTGGGAAGTGTTGGACTCACATTGACACTAATTAGTTTATGAGTTGATATTGGGTTATTGAAATACAATATGGTCACATGAATTTGATAGTTTAAAGTAAATGCGTTTAATGATATTTTCATATGATTTTCTAACAAGTATATTTCCATAAGACTTTGCACTGACTGTATAATGCCTTTATTGTTATCGGTTTATATTATCATATCGGAAAATGATTGGCTCGACAATCTTTTACATTTAAAGTGTTAACCATGTAATATGAGTTTCGTCTAATAGGTTATAAAACTACCATAGTTATAAATTTGTTTCATTTAAAAAATTATAATTTTGATCTACTAAAAAATCATATTAGATTCATATGTCCACCTACATATCTTTCGTTCTAATTATTATGTGAATATTAGTTTTATTGGTAGGCATATATTGAAAATTATTCATAATTCTTAAATGAATATTAATTTGATTATGTTTCTTGTCATTTTGTATTTTATCATGGAAGAAAATATAATTATTATATGCATTTTAATTTGATTATGTTTATGATAATTTTAACTATTTTTTATATATTCTCAATGGAAGACGATATTATTCATATTAATATGTTCCCTTTTAGACCACCTGTCGCGTATAGTTTAGTCATCTCTCAAGGGTTGATTCTTCATTTTCGGATGCGGGGAAGAAGCCCTAATAATATTTGAGTCAGGAGATTCCTTGAAAACAATGAAAGCAGAATCCTATTTTATTTAGTTTAGAAGAAGGTTGTCTTGTCCCTTCCCATTGTAATTGTAGGAGGGAAAGTAAACCTCCTTGTCAGTATAAGTATATCTGAGTTCTACTTAAATAGTCTAGGTTTTTATATTATTTATCTTTAATACGTGTAGTCCTCAATCATCTCTTGGCTGGCTTCCATCCCCTTCACATGATAATAAATTCCATTCATTTAGGACATCACATAACACATTAAATCATGGGTAGATGCAAGAAATAGCAGTAAACTTTCGTTAATTAGTTTAATATAACATCCTACTTTCATTTCTTCCTATTACAATTTGACCAAATCAACATTATTCTTTTTAAAAGCAATATGTAGTAATTAAATAAAACATACAGTATAATGAAGTATGGTGGTTTCAATAAATAAATACTATTCTTTTTAAAAGCAATATCATTATACCATCGGGAGATAATGGTGACGAGAGTCAAAAATGAGTGTTACTAACTACCACATAAAAATTTGAAACTTGCACATATAAAACTTAAAAAAAATAGATGGGGAAACATTTAATCCACAACAATATATATTAATTTATTAAAAAAACATGATCTAGGAGTGGACCGATCAGAAGTATGTGCCTTGGGGAAACATTTATGGCATCCAACAGTTTAGACCCTTTCACAACAAAGTGACTATGAAAATCGAGACATTTCCATCTGAAACCCAAAAGGAACAACTGAGTCCCTTTACATAGAAATGAGACACGAGGAAAATACACAACTACAAAACTCACAAGTTTTAAGAGCACCATTTCGTGAAAATTTGTTTTTAAGACCATGCTTAGTGCCCCGTCTTTCCCCTTTTTTTGGATCTTCCATGGTGTTCATCTGTCTTGAAACACCACAAAATTTCACAGACAAACTATTAGTATTCAATTTGGATAAAACTAAATGAATAATCAATCTGTTAAAGAGACCCATGAGTTAACTTACCCTTAGCAAAAACCTTTTACTCGGTGTATCCCCCAAAGCCTTCCTGCAAGGCAAGCCTATTCGAAAGAAAAAAATAATTAATCTTAAAGATGCGAAGTTTTTCTAAAAATAATATTGGTAAGCCGTCAAGAAATGTGCATTAAGAATCTAAAATATGTGATAACATAATACTATATAATACCTTAATTTTTCTGCCAAAATTCCTCTTTGTTTTCTTGTTCCTGTATCTTGAGAATGTTTGCATACGGTCTTCAATGGTTAGTGGTAATTGCCCAAGGGGAGAATGAATCAGGTCTGTCATAAAAGAAAAACACTATCAATAAGAAACAACTCAAGTTGGTCTTTTTGTTGATTTTAGAATACCAGATAAGTTGGTGTTTTGCTTTACTGGACAGTGTTGCCAAGCCTACAGGAGCATTAAAAAAAAATCAAGAACACATCATTGTTAGTGGTTTATACATTGTAGTTAAAAAGAAATAAAATCTGAAGTATTTATATACATAGCAACTAATAACGGTTATAGTTTAATTGTTGAAGGCTTTGCAGCATCTATATGAATTATGAAATGAAGTAGATCAAACATTACTTCCAAACACCATTCTTGAACCATAAGGGATTTAAAAAGAATATAAACTTATGTGGATGTTACTGTTAATGAATCCAACAAAAAGGCACGAAGCTTTTATACCACATTTTTTAGAAGATGACAATAAAATTTTTACACGAAATGTACATGGTGATGATTAAAATGACCGAAGTTTACCAGGATTACTTCTTTCATATCCAGAATGGTTATTTGATAGAATTCAATAACCTTTAGTTGTCTGTATGTCATTCTACCTAAAAGAAATTATGTTGTTATTTTCAATTCACATTCATCCTTCTGAAATGCAAGTATTCTTCCATTATTTAATATTCTTATTCATATATTATCTTTAAATAAATAAAAAATATATATGTAACTTAACTTGATAGATGAAATACCTGAAGCTAGTGATGAGGAATTGTATTTGCCTTTCGTATTTTTCTCTTTCAATTCTCGTTCCATGCAGAGTTTAAAAAACGTTTACCAATAGCATGTATTTGCAAGATTCAAAGTCAGAAAAAAAAAAAAAAAAAAAGAGTAAGCAATTGAGCATACATACAGTGTAAATGTAGATGATGGCCGCCTTGCCTGAAGGTTTAGAAGATGGAATCTTGATAGCCATTATAGATTCCGAAATCAAACCAACAAAAACTTGTCATCCTACAATCAAACACAATGAAGTAATTAAAGTATTCTAGTGATTAATGTCGTTATTTTTTTATTGTCTAATTTTAACAATCTGTAAGTGTTACATAAATGGTCGTTATCACATTTTACAGTTACGTAAATGGTCCATGTAATTGTAAATAGTTACAACAATGGTCCCTATCACAGTAAATTGATACAGAATTGGTACCTCTTCCAGTTAATTGTTACACAATTAACTTTACCAATATCTTCTGATAAATCAAAATCTTAGCACTAAAACTTCAAATTCAAACTCTCAGATAAAATTAAACTTCTAAGGGTAAAATAGTCATTTGAATTTATATGAAAAAAATCTAGTATGACAATTGTATAGTATAGCAATTGTATAAACACAGACAAATATATCAAAATATCTCTTTGATTGATTTGGAAATATAACTCAAAACCAAACTTGTTTACACTGTGTTTGTGTTGTACTGCATATTCATAACTCGATAAATGCTATATATATATATATATGCTAGAGTAAGCTTTATAATATAAAATACAAAAAGATACCCAACATCTTGATGGTATTCCTTTTGCTTTTCCTGGAAATATGGTGAGTGGAAGACAAGGAGGGAATTAAGGAATTGAGATTCCAACAATCACCCCCGAATCTCTAAGTCCTTCTAGAGATTCCCGATCACCGCCAATCTTTAAGTCCTTCTAAAGATGTCTTCAATCCCGATCAAGTCCCGCATTGTCTTGAACTTGGTTCGAGCCAATGGTTTTGTGAGAATGTCTGCCTTTTGTTCTTCACCTGGAATGTACTTTACCTCCACTTGTTCCTTTTCAACACACTTACGAATGAAGTAAACCTCGTGTGAATGTGTTTGCTTCTTCCGTGAAAAACAGGATTCTTCGTGAGTTCGATAGCAGACTTGTTATCAACTCTTAGGACCACCTTCTCTTGTGCTTTGTTCATGATTTCGCCTAGCAAATCTTGAAGCCATATTGCTTGACATGCAGCCGCAGTTGCAGCCATGAACTCCGCCTTGCAAGATGATAAAGCAACAGTATCTTGCTTTTGAGAACACCATGTTATTGGAGACAACCCATAGTAGAAAATGTGACCGGTTGTGCTTCTTCCGTCATCTGGATCAACATTATGACTACTATCACTGTAACCAATTATTCGATTTTGTCCCATCCTCTCGTACTTGATTCCGTATCCCGTTGTTCCTCGTAAATACCTTAGGATGTGTTTGATTGCAACACCATGTGATTCTCTTGGATCTTGCATGTATCGACTAACAACTCCAACCGCATATGCCATATCGGGTCTTGTCTGCAAGAGATATCTAAGGCATCCTACCAACTTTCGGTATTGTGTCGGGTCGATTTTGGGTTCATCTTCGGCCTTCGACATTTTGGTTCCTGGATCCATGGGAATGTGGGTCGGATTGCAATCGTGTAAACCGGCTTCTTTTAGAATGCGTCTAGCATACGCTTCTTGGTTTATAGTAATCCCTGATTCTTCTTGTTTGACTTCAATGCCCAGGTAGTAAGTTAATCTTCCAAGATCAGACATCTCGAAGTTCTTGGACATTTCAAATTTGAACCTTTTGATCATGCTCAAATTTGTACCTGTGACAAACAAATCATCAACATAGATTGCTAAAATTAGCAAGTTGGATCCTTCGTTCTTCCGGTACACCGATGGTTCTTTCATGCACTTGTGAAATTTCATTCCTTTCAAAATCCCATCAAGTTTTGTATTCCATGCTCTCGGTGCTTGTCTAAGACCATATAGTGCTTTTGAAAGACGGTACACCTTGTGCTCGTCGCCTTTCCTTATGTAGCCTTCCGGTTGATACACATAGACGGTTTCTCTCAACTCTCCATGTAAGAAAGCCGTCTTGACATCCAAGTGGTGAAGCTCCCATCCATTGGTAGCGGCTAAGGCAATGAGAAACCGTATGGTTTCGATGCGAGCTACCGGAGCAAATACTTCTTGAAAGTCAATACCAGGTTGTTGTACGTACCCTTTAGCAACCAACCTCGCCTTGTGTTTGTTTATGGTGCCATCTGTATTTTTCTTCAGCTTGAACACCCATTTGAGTCTAATGGGCTTCACCCCCATAGGTTTGTTTACGAGAGACCAAGTATTGTTCTTGTTGACCG